ATCAGCATTCTTATAAGCTTCCCCAGGGCAGGTCAGCGTAGGTCTGCACACAGCAGTTGAGATTACAGGACCCTGAAGGCCTCACCCTGAGATCCTATGGCTCTTTTTTCTTTCTTTCTTTCTTTTTTTTTTTTTAAAGATTTTATTGGGGAGTTGGGGGAGGGGGCCAGTGTTGGGGAATTGGGGAAGGGGACCAGTGTTGGGGAATTGGGGAAGGGGACCAGCTAAGTTGTTGTTCTTCAATCTTCATTGTGGAGGGCGCCAGTCACCATCTGACTTCCCGTTGGCAGCTCGTGGCCTCTAAGCTCAAGGTGCTGTGTTCAATCTTAGTTGCGGGTGGGCGTAGCCACCATCCCATGCGGGAGTCGAACCAGCAGCCTTCTTGTTAAGAGTGAACGCTCTATCCACTGAGCCATCCAGGCGGCAGCTCAGCTCAAGGTGCCGAGTTCAGTCTTAGTTGCGGGTGGGCGTAGCCCACCATCAAACAGGCAACCTTGTTGTTACACAAGCTGAGCCATCCTGCCACCTGTTGGCAGCTCAGCGACAGTTCAGCTCGGGCACAGCGTCACTGTCCCATGTGGGAATCGAACCGGTGGCCCTGTTGCTCAGAGCTCATGCTCTTAAGCCAACTCTTAACCAACTGAGCCACTCGACCAGCCCCTTTGGCTCTTAATGGCCCCTGAACCAAGGCTGTTCTGCCTGCAACTCTGTGAGAAGTGTCAGCATAGTGGTGGGGGTGGGGTGGGCATCGAGCTGTCAGATTCTGAGAGATTAGTACACAGTAAGGAACAGGATACAGGGAAAGGGAAGTATGCCTGGGGATGGTAGCCTGAGGAGAAGGGAGGACTGGTGTAAAACCTGGGCATTTTTTAATGCTGAGGAAAGATGATGTTGGAGAGAAAGACTGAAGACAGGAAAGAAACAAATGGTTGGGGCTGCAGCCCCAGGACAGGGAGGCCCCAGTGAAGAGGCTTGGATTGGACAGCAGGAGGGATGAGCAGGAGGGAAGAGAGAGCACGGCTAAGGGCATGCAAGCTTTCAGAGTGACACCCATGATTATCTAGAACTGTGTGGTCCAGTGCAGTAGCCACGAGCCACACGCAGCCACCGAGCACTTGACATGTGGCTGGTCTGAGTTGGTGTGTGCTATACAGATAAGACACACCAGACTGAAGATTTACTAAAAAGAAAACCAATGTCAAATATCTCAATCATTTTTATATTGATTACATGTTGAACTGACAATATTTTGGCTATACTAAAGTGTATTATTAGAGCTGATTTCACCTGTTTCTTTTTTCCATTTTTTTAATGTGACTCTTTAAAATTACCTATGAGGCTCCTATTTGAGGCTGACATGATATTCCTATTGAATGATGCTGACCTAGAAGTTATGGAAGCCAGAACTAGGAGAAAAAAGAAACCCCACCAAAGTCCTATCTCAAAAACAAAGCCTCGGGCCAGCCGAGTGGTATGTTGGTTAAGAGCTGGCTTGGGACACCAGCTCTGAGTACAGGGCCCCAGTTTGGATCCCACATGAGGGCCAGTGACGCTGCGCCCTCCACAGCTAACATGGTGAACAACAGCTCGACCTGGAGCTGGGCTGCTGTGAGTCGCCCATGTAGGCTGCAGTGGGGCTGGCCAGCAGCGGGCATGAGCTTACGTGAGCTGCCGTGAGCAGCCATCCAGAGGCCGGCGACCGATCTGCCTCACCCGGGAAGAGCACAATGATCACAATACCAACATGGGCCAGTGAAGCGACGTCCTCCACAACTAGACTAAAGAACAAAAGGACACCAACTTGTCTGTTCTGCTTCTCCGATTCCCCAACACTGTTCCCCTCCCCCCAATTCCCCAATAAAATCCTTAAAAAGAAAAAACCTCTTTCTACAACCCCAGAATCTGCCTCATTCAGACTGAGGTTTAGCCAAATTGATGAAAAGAAAAATGCTTGCTCAGCCAACTAATTATCAGTAGGAATAAAATTGTAGTGGAAAGTATATAATTTGTTCTCAGACACCATTTACATATAGCAATTAATTAGTGATGATGAATGTTTCGCATCCATTCATTAAGGCAGGCCCTCAAGGCCAGGCAATGGGAAGGAGGTCACCACCACCAGCAAGCAGTCCAAGGGCCACATGCGTTCTGAGCACCTACTAAGTCCTGAGGAGGATACAGGACAGGGAGGTGCTAGCCGTGGTTTACCCACTTGGGAGGAATGAGGAACACGAGCCAGGGAACGTTGGTCCTTTCCCAGTCACACGGTCTCCCTCAGGACTCCTGCTAGTTCCGATTTGCGTGCTTTTTCCCACCTCACATCTGTCCCCATTCCACTGTGAGTGGGCAGTGAGGTACTTTTTGGGGGCCACTTCCCTCCCCGCTCAGTGGCTCTGGTATCGTCAGATCTCCCTTCCTCCCCAACCAGCCTTGACTCTGTGGTATGTGGTCAGGATGGTTTCGGTCACGCAGGCCATCTCCCTGTTCCCACACAATAGCACAGCGCGTGGGTGTTTGCTTGCTGGTGGTGCTATCTAAAATCAACATTGGCAGCTCCTGCCTCCAGAGGCTTCATGTCTCAGTAGGTGCCTGGTCACCATAATTTGGGTTTGGGGGTTCTTGGGGGGGAAGGGGGTGTCTCTGTAAAAGCTGCAAGTCTTCTCAGAGGGCTCAGATTTCTCCTCACCATTCTGGCACCGGAGCAAAGAGGTCTAAGTTCAGGTGGCTGACATGCTGCAGGGTTCCTGGTGACACGCTTCCTCTGCTGGGACTGAAGGAGGGGTCCACACCTGCCGTGGCTGAAGAGGCAGGAAGTACCTAGTCCCCACATTCTACTGAGGGGCTGTCCAGTCCCCCCTATGCTTCGCTGTCCTTAGAGTCTCTACAAGGGTCAGTGGCCCCTGAAGTCAAACTTCAAGTCAGGTGGTCACTTGACGTTCAACTCTTCTACTGTCTGAAGATCCTCCTAACTGGTTCCCTGCCCCAGGCCCATCCTGCTTGAAGCACAATGACCTTCTGGAATACCATGTTCACTGTGGAAGCAGGATAGTGTATCCAAGAGAGCACTGGCCTAGGAGTCAGGGCAGCTTTGGGGAAAGTGTGGTCCATGTAACATTCAGTTTTTCTTCCAGTGAAATAAAAGCTTCAGCACCCTGGGTCTTTAAGGTCTTTCCAACACTGTCATTATTCTGTCACTCCTCTCTTCAAGAACCTTCAGTGGCCTCCCTCCTACAAATAAAGCCTGAACTCCTTGCGCTAGCACCTTTCAAGGCAGTGGATACCCTGATCTGGAACTGCCTTTTAGGCCTTTCCTATGATCCCCTCCCACCATTGCCACCATCCTCCGAGCCACCCAGCCTTCTCACTGTTGCCCCAAACACTCTATACCCATGCCTTCTGTTTGTTCACTCCGCTCATGCCACTCTCCTTACAGCAATGCCCCCGATTCAAAGCCCTACGCCATTTCCACCATCTGCCTGAAGTTGAGCTCTCCACTGAAATGCTATTGGGTTGTCGGAAAAGTCATGACGCATGTTAGCAACAGATGGCACTAGTTCATTTTTGGAAGTACTAAAGTCATTCACATCTATGTTATTGCTATGTCATTTGACAGCTGACAGTTCTAACTTCATTCTAAAAAAAATTGAGCGATTTGGTTGAGTTTTGGAGATTTTACAAGTTAAAAGTGGAAGATCAAACTGTGCATTTTTGCCATATTTTACTGTTTTACTTCCATAAAGGGAAGAACGTGCATCAAGCTTGTGAAAAGTTGCATCAAGTTTACAGTGACAATGCTCTACAAGAACATCAGTGCCGACGACGGTTCATGAAATTCTGTGCTGGTGATTTTGATCTCAAAGACGCTCCTCGGTCAGGGAGGTCCACCAAGGTTGATGACGACAAAATAAAGGCATTGATTGAGGCAAACCCACATTACACAACACGAGATTGCAGGAACATTGAACATCCATCATTCAAGCATTCACAACCACCTGAAGAAGCTGGGATACGTAAGCAAGCTCAATATTTGGATTCCACATGAACTCAAAGAAGTTCATTTGATGGCGCGTATAAACATCTGCAATATGCTCATTAAATGTGAGGAAAACGATCCTTTCTTGAAGCAAATGGTAACTAGTGATGAGAAGTGGATTGTTTACTATGTGGTGCGCAAACGGTCTTCGTCCCAATGTGATGATTCGCCTCAAACGACATCGAAAGCAGACATGCATCAGAGGAAGGTTATGCTCTCAGTGTGGTGGGATTTTAAAGGTGTCATGTTTTTCGAGCTCCTACCAAGGAACCAAACAATCAATTCGAATGTGTACTGTCAGCAATTGGACAGTTTGAACGAATCCATCATCCAGAAACATCCAGAGCTTGTTAATTGTAAAGGAGTTGTGTTCCATCACGACAACGCGAGACCACACACAAGTTTGCTCACCCATCAAAAATTATTGGAGCTTGGATGGGATGTGTTGCCACACCCACCATACTTGCCTGACCTTGCGCCGTCAGACTTCCACTTGTTTCACTCTCTTCAAAACTCCTTGCGTGGTATAACCTTCAATTCAGATGAGGCTGTAAATCAGCACCTTGTTCAGTTTTTCGCAAATAAAGACAGGTCCTTTTATGAATGAGGAATTATGAAGCTCACTGAAAGATGGCAAAATGTTATCGAACAAAACGGGCAATATATCATTGATTGATCTTTGTTCTTTATATAAATAAATGACCTTTGAAAAACATAGACAAAATACGTCATGACTTTTCTGACAACCCAACAGAATTTCTGTGAAGACAACTCATTTAGCCCTTAGGAGTCACTGCCTGAGCATCCAATTAGATGAAGCTCTCCAGCAGGTGAGGAAGCCCCCATAATGTTAATTAACTCCTCATCTGAGAACACGGGACCAAAGCCCTATGGGCCTGCTATAAAAATACTTGTCATGTGCATACACTTTACAGCTTATAAAGGATTTCAGACCCATCACCCCATTTAATCCTCAAAGGCACTCTCAGAGGCAGCCCTGATGCAAGAAGGATTATTAGTTCTCTGCCTAAGGCCAATCAGTTTTTGAGAAGTTACCTCTGCCAAGACTAGGTCACAGCTCTCCACGTCCAAGCTGTTCCCATCAAAGCCTGCTGGGGGGAGGGAAGGCAAGCCCACATGTTAAGAAATACCAAGCTAAGCATAGTCGTCATGTATCACCAGAAGGAAGGAGTCAAGTTTAGCCACTGATTGAAATGACCCCTACGCCTGCTCCTTGAAGGCCAGTTAGTTTGTGCTGCCGCCCATCCCAGCCGTTTCTTCAGCTGTAAAATGATATTTCCCCCATTGGGGAGGTATGAGAATTACATGAACCAGGCTCCCCACGTGCCCCAAATGTGTGCAGGAGTCAGAGCAGCATCAGTCACCGAAAGCAAGTGTGAGGACTGAAACAGCTCTTGGAGGTCTAGTGACAATAGCCTCATTCTATCAAGGTGGGAAGGGGGTTTCAGAAAGGGGCGTAAGCCAAAGTCACAGAGCAGCAAAGCCAGCAGGAACCCCCCAGCCACTCCCCTGCCTCCCACCTAAGCTAGGGCAGGGCCCACTTGGGGACAGCTGGAGCAGATGGGCCACCACAAGCCACCCTAGCAATCTCTCAGGTCATCTGACCTCCACTGTTGATTTCTACCCAAAGGACATGAGCATTTTTAGTTTCCAAGGAATGTAAATCGGTCTCTGGAAGCTAGGCTGCCCTGAGATAAGGTTGCTGGTTTAAAACAAACACAGGACTTCCTATATAAGGACCAGACAACCACCAGGCACCACCTCTACCAGGAATTCCAGGTAGGCACCGTGTGTGTGTGTGGGGGGGGGGGCGGTCTGCTTACCGCTGGCCATTCACAGCCCCATCTGAACAAAGGGAAGGTTGCACACCCTGGGGCAGCCTTGCTGCTCAGAGAGCTGGGCTCAGGAGCCGCCCCAATTCCCCCATGTCTCCTGGGGACCTTGCTGGTTCAGCTTCATCATCCCACTTAGACACTTGGTACAAGCTCCTTGGGGGCTGGGACAAACATGGGGAGTCCCACTAATAAGGGTTCTGACCTGAAGGAACAGTCTTGGAAGAGAGCACACACATCCTTCAATTCGCTCTTGCCTTGGGGGAGGGGGACAGAGGAAGGGGTGGGCGGGTAGAGGGAGCCCCTCTGGCAGGGATGGGAAGAGCTTCTCTCTTCAGCGGTTGCCATCCTAGGTCGAAGTCCTTTACCCTGTCTGCTAGGCTCCTACCTGAGTTCTGAGGCATGGGGAGGAGAGGGGAGGAGAAGAGAAGGAAGGGAGGGAAAGCATGTTGCTTGGAGACCCTTTCTCCTCCAGGCCCATCTGTCACCACCCAGCTGAGGCCATGCCCTCCCTGGGGACCCTCTGCAGCCTACTGCTCTTCAGTGTGCTCTGGGTGGACTTGGCCATGGCAGGCTCCAGCTTCCTGAGCCCTGAACACCAGAAAACGCAGGTGAGACATCTCCCCACAAAGCCCCACATTCTGACTGGGGTCTCTCTTTCCAACCCTGCCACATAGCAGCTGGCTGTGTGACCTGGGCAGTGGCTCAAACGCTTGGGCTTCAGCCTTCTCCTAGAGCACAAAGGACTCCGGGTCTGACCACAGGCCCATACTTCTCTCTGCTTCTGGAAGGATATGGGGGCTTAGGGCCCTAAAGGGAACACCTCCTCTCTCCAGCAGAGAAAGGAGTCCAAGAAGCCACCAACCAAACTACAGCCCCGAGAGCTCGAAGGCTGGCTCCGCCCAGAAGATGGAAGTCTGGTGGAAGAGGCAGAGGATGAGCTGGAAATCCGGGTTGGTTCTTCTGTAGTTTTATACTTTTGTGACAGTGGAGGGGATGAGGGGAGGACAAGGGAGCTGGCTACGAACAGAGGCTCACTTAGCACCTACTCAAGAAATGTAAAATAGCGCGAAAATAGTTGACATGGCCTTGCACTGGGCTCCACGAGGTCTTTACCAAGCAAGAGGCAAACATCTAACGGAAGTAACTTTGCTACAACAGAAGAATTACAAGGGGCTGCAAGCAGGAAAGGGGGCGCCAGCAGACGCCAGGTGATTTCAAAGGGTGCAGCAAATAGGCTGTCCAGAGACAGACACCCAGGAAGACACGGCTGGTTACAGACCACAGGTGTTTCCCCGCAGAAAACCTTTGGTTGGCTCAGGGGCCTCCCAGACCTTACCCGGGGCTGGAGTGCACCAAGGCTGCACCCTGAACAGAGCTACTGCTAGCCCTGCTCTGGCAGACACACCCACTGACATCCATCTGTAGATGAGGACAGGCCGGTCAGGCTTGTTTTGGCTCTGACAAATTTTGCATCGGACAGGGAAATCATTTAAAGTGGGGGACTAAGACTAGAGAAAGGGAGTCAAGGCATTTTATAGGGTTATTTAGGTAAACTTCCTGAAAGGCTGGCTGTGGTTCAGGAAACGGTTCTGACAGCATGTAGGTGGCGATAGACACCTCCATGCAGAGAAACCAGGACTCCCCTGGGCTGGTACCTAATAGTGGCAATTATTATACTGCTGTAGTTTTGTCCCATGGTCTCATTTACAAACTGTTTTACCCTTATTACATATCATATAATTGCTACAACAGTCCATCAAGTAAGGCTGATATTACTGCCCTCCTTTTATAGACGAGGAACAGAAGTTGAGACAAATGAATTCACTTGCCTGAGGTGCCACAGCCGGTGCGTGGCAGAGGTGGGACTCAAGGTCAGGGCTGGCTCATCCAAGGCCTCTTTTCCTCCTCACTGGTCTGGCAAACAGAGTGTACAGTAGCCCAAGGAGTGCCTCTTGCTCGTCTCTTCCCACCTGAGAAGAGCAGTTGAAGTATGTCCCGACGTGGCCTCCCTCTAACTATCCACCTGCCTCTTCTCCCACCAAGGATGCTCTCTGACCCTCACCAGAACCCAGAAGTACTTCCTCCACACTATGTGTAAGACCCCTCAACCCACCCCATTCCCGCTTGATGGCCTACAAATCCTTAAACTAAAGCCAGGAACTTTCCTGGTGAGATTGCCACCTCTAGCCAGCTGGTACTCACCCCAGCCAGAGTAGCTCTAAATTAGCCCAAATGGGGAAGAGGTTTCAGTGCCTGAAGACTCAAGGCAGGGCTGGGACAACTGGAAGTTTCCAGTTTCCATGAAGGCTGGCCTTGGAAAAAATCACCCACACTGCTCAACTAGAACCAGAGTCTGAAATGTGGGCGCTCTTGGGGCTGCCCGAGGCTGAGTGGGGCAGGAGGGAGGCCTGCCACACCAGCAGCAGAGCTCCGGGCTGCCCCTCAACCCCTCCCATCCTAGGGTTCTACTCACCCAAATGTTATCCTCCTAAAATCGTTTCAGAGCTGGAAGACTCTGGAAACCAGCTCCTGCTCACTCCCCTACCCCACCCCCAAACCCCCATCCCCTGACTGAACAGATGAGACGCTGAGGCCAAAGGGGCCTTGTCAGGTCACCTGAGGCTTATCTTCCAACCAGCAGCCACCATGCTGCCTCTCACCTGCTCTGCTGCCCAGTTACAGCCAACAGGCCCCTGGACTGGGTTCCTAAGAAGTGTGTTCAGATGATCAGACCACCCTACATTAGCCACAGGAAGAAAAACAAATCTTTACTGAAGGGAGGGAACAGGGGGGCTCAAATTCCTTAAAAAGCAAAAACAAAACGATTATGTCATTCCCCTCTCACTCCAGCTTCACAGTGGAGACCAGAGTGGAAGGCAAATTTTTAAAAAGGTATAAACAGCTATTTGTTGTTCTAATAACTTCTCTGGGCATGTTTGCTCACCTGTAAAATAGGTATAATAGTGGTACCTGCCTGGTTGGGGGGGTGGGGGGGCGGGGTACGGAGGACTTGATACAATGTGGAGGAAGACATAGCCCATGGCTGACACAGGGCCGGGCTCCATGCTGGGCGCTGCAGCCGCCCAGGGACTAGAAGAGGTTCCAGGCTGGTGGGCTTAAGAATCCTGCAGTCTAGTCCTTGACCACCAAGTCCTGTCAGGCCTCAGACAAGCCATTTAATTTCTCTGGACGTCTGTGGCTTTGTCTGAAAATGAGGATAACACCTCCCGCCCAGAGGGCAGGGGGCAGAAGGACCAAGATTCCTCCACTGACTCCTTAAGACATCAGAGTGACCAACATGGCTAGGTACTGAGGCAGCTACTGGAGGAAAAGAGATAAAGATAGTCTCTGCTCTCAACAGAATAAACGATGATGTGGCTGCAGAGCTCTTTCCCATTTCCCCAAAGCTTCTAGCTCCAATAAATCATCTCATAGAATGCCGAAAGTAGGGGAAATGAAGCACTCTCCCCTGGAAGGGGAGAAATGGAGGCAAGGAAGAAAGGACTTGGCTTAGAATATCTTTCTAGGAAGAGGTCAGCCTCCTGTCTGACTTTCCACAGAACAAGGCCTGTGCATAGGAGAGGAAGACACCTGAGGAGGAGGAGATGGGGGCAGCAGAGGGGGCAGAGACCATCACCCAGGCTAGTGCTATGTACTCCCAGTAGACCCATGTCCCCAAAGTCTCCCTACCAAGGCCAGAAATCCCACCATTGGTGACTGATTCAAACTTATGCCTTCCAAAATTACAGGTGGGGGGGACTTGATCTAGGGGCCCCAACATCCACAGCTTTTATCAGCAACCTCCTTAGAGATAAATAGAGTAAGTCTCCTGAAGATGGTGGGGGGGGGGACACAGGAAGAATGGCCTAAGGCAGGATAACCTAGCCCAGCTGCCTCTCAGGGGTGCCTGCTGGGCCCACAGGCCCTTCGCCCTCCCTGTCCACGGTAAGACCCCGAGAGCCCAAGGGCTCTTCGGGATGGGGGTGTGCTTGGGGTAGGGGTGGGAGGGTGGGGCCTCTGACACTTCCTGGGTCCTTCCTGCCCCTCCTCCTAGTTCAACACCCCCTTTGATGTTGGAATCAAGCTGTCAGGGGCTCAGGACCACCGGCATGGCCAGGCCCTGGGAAAGTTTCTTCAGGACGTCCTCTGGGAAGAGGCCAACGGTAAGCCCCTGCCCAGGTCAGGTCAACTCAGTTTCCTCAGAGTCCCAAATGTGAGCCCACACTATGGATGATACAAGTTTCCTTCTCCCACTCCTGCCTCTCAAAAACAGCTTCTAATTCCTCATTCCCAAATATCGGCAGGAGAGGCGCTGGTTCAGAAGGGGTTGAGCAGTCTTTGTATTTGAAGAAGCACTATGTTCCAAGAACCAGCACATTAACTAGCTTTGGGGCCCCAGGGAACCCCAATTTCCCTAACCATAAAATGGAGCTAACACCCACTGTGAGAGCATAAAATTATTTGGTTTCAAGCACCTTTACTGTATAACTTTACTTCATAAACAAAAGGAATTAGTGTGACAGTTGCATTCAGAATAGGCTCCCTTCCAGTTAAGCAGTTCTTTTGGTTTTGTTCAAATCCCCTCTTGCCTTGTGAAAAGGTACCACCCAACTTTCTCCTGATTGAGGTGTTTCCAAAACACCTGCCTTGGGAAGCTCCCTACCATCTGCAAAGTACTTTCCTCACCAACATGGCATCACCCTCACCCCACCCACCACAGGAGGCAAGTGGAAAATAGCACTCAGCCTGCGGTACAGATAAGGAGACCAAGACTCAGAGCTTTCCGTTGACTTGTTCAAATCACACTGTCCACCCTCCGAGGCCAGAGCTTCCCCTCATTACCACACAGCCCCTCATTACCACACACCCCCTCCAATGTTACCAGTGTGGAAGAAAGCCATTTTGTGTGGCACTGGCCGGACGGCAGACTCAAAATTTTGACTTGGCCTCTTGCTTTTCAGAGGCCCCGGCAGACAAGTGACCGTCCACAAGACCAGCTCACCTCTTTGTTCTCCTCCCACCCTTAGAAGAGCTCACCTGGCTTTTAGATTGCTTCTACAACTCCCAGCTCTGAGTGATATTAGCTTAGGAGCTGAATAAATGTTCAAACTGTGTGCTGAATATTCAAAATGGGAATTATTTCACCGGAGTAAAATATCACATTTCACTGGAAAAAAAATTCTGGGTTATGTGGTGGATGGGAAGAGAAAAAAAGCGTATGTAGTAAGGCAGGTATGAATGCTTAGAAAAGCAAACTAGACCAACTCATACAAGCAGATAGAGTATTGGGAGATGTATGGCAGGAGGAGAAAGGGGGGAAAAGGAGGAGAAGGGTTGAGGAGAGGAGGAGAGGGAGAAAGTGGGGGGAGAGGGGAGGATGGAAAGACAATTCCTTTAAATATCAGATTCTTGAGTGCATCCAAGTTGCATGGAGAGCTTATCATCGAGGACTGTGTGGACAGAGAAACTGCAGGTGACATTATCAGGGCTAACATCCATTGAATTAACATTCAAGATCAGAACAGGATGCTGGGAATGCCAAAGCATGAGTGTGAAGTCGTATTAAGTGGGCTGCTAACAATAGCTACTTGCCACTGCTGGGCAGGGCTGAAATAACTACTGCACTTCTTCCTCCTCGTCCACTACTGAAGAGACTGGCGAAGCAGATGCTGCCTCATGTGGGCAACGCTGGCCGTTGCCTTCTTTACTTCACTGATACCAGGTAGGTGTCCCAAGACATTTCCAACTCCAGTTCACAGCTGAAATGAGCCTTGATCCCTAAGTTCCACTAGTTCTAGTGAAGACACCACTCTTCCTGGGAGGAATGTCACTTATCATTGTTTAGCATGAACATGTGAACTGATTTCTGAGGGCTGGTGATGATGATGGATGGGTGAATCATTAGGGGGAGGAAAAGACAAAAAACAAGGAGGCTCCAAAGAGAAGCACTGCCAACCTGCCCGGTCAGACATATGAACGCCTGTTAGAAATATGCAGACCACCCCTCTGCAGAGAGATGGAGTAACAGCTACACTCTGGAAAAACCTCTATCACAGAGGGCTCTAGGAGCCAAGCATCTTCTTGAGTAAAATTCTGGCCACCTGGCACTCAGACACAGCCCTACAGAAACCAACCACTTATCAGGCACACCAAACACAACTGCCATCCCTCATCGAGGAACTGCATAGTCTGTGGAACATCACTGTCATCTGGAAACCTCATAGGAATGCAGAATCTCAGGCCCCACCCCTTCCCTACTATATCAGGATCTGCATTTTAAAAAGGTCCCCAGGCTATTAAACAGCTTATATAACGTGGCTTGGAGGCAACTGGATCCAACTCAGGCAGCACAGCACACGGCGGAGCCAGATGGCTCCACCTGGCATACGAGTAGGACAGATGTCAGCTGTCATATAACAAAAAATTCTGACCTGGCCAGGTGGGGCCCTCAACAAAACTGCAAACACATGAAAAAAGGTGTCCTGTTTCTTCTCTCACTTACCTTCTTCTCGTCACTCTGGTCCCAGCTGTCGTCAACGCCACGTCCGTCCCTTGGGCAGACCCTCCCCCTTCCCCCCGCCCCCAACACACACACTCTTCCTTTTCTCAGATGACTACAGACCCCTGACTATATGACGACACAGTGACTTAGTTCACGGAGTCCTTGCTTCCAAAAGCATCTGCCTCTAAGTCGCAGTAATGATCACAGAGTGAAATGCGTTATCACCACTAAAGGAATTTACGGTATGTGGAAAGCAGGTGAACTACGTGGGAGAAAGGAAGTAGAATTGGAGGAAAATGACCTTCCTCAGCACCTACACTCAGCCCCCTAGCAATGAGGCCTAGACCAACACACTGTCCTGGAGCTTAACCACTTTCCCAGCTCTATCGTTTAGTAGGATTGCAGCCCAAATCACCACAAACCATGCCCACAGCCCTCTTCTCAAGAGCTAGAGAGGAGGATCCAAGGCTCTAGCACGATCCAAGTTGCCCAGGAAATCAGCTGCTGACCTGGTGAAGCAGCAGCCATAGATTGGGCTCAGGGCAGGATGCGTGCCAGGCCCTGGCAGGAATGCTGCTCACCCAATGCTTCTTCCCAGCAACAAAGACAAAGGCTGACTCCTCTCTCAATGGACACAAGCATTCTCGCCCACTTGCCTAGGTCATTAGTTCAAGAAAAAGATGTTAAGCACCCACTTTGGACCAGGAATTCTCACCTGGGGCTGACAGCATGGTGTGGTGGAAAACCGTGAGCTTCAGACTCATACCTGAATTTGAATACCAGCTGTATGATCCAGACCAAAACACTGAATTTCTCAGGCTCCTCAATGTAAAACGCCTACCTCCCTGGGTTACCATGGAGACTGAACAGTTATCTCCTGTGAGGACACCTGGCGCATAGTAGGCATTCGATTCTAATAGCCATCATTTACTGCATTCCTGCTATGCGCCTGGCACTGTTCTAAATATATGTAATTAATGTAATTTCAGTTAATTTTCACAAGACACTTAATCGGACTGAAGTTCACAGAAATGAAGTAACTACTCACATAGCTGATACACTGTCCACTCACATTCAGAGCTGTGGTGCTCGAGTCCATGCTTTCACAGCCTCTCAAGTGTTACCTCCCCTGCCCTACTACCTAGCGTCCAGGGATTCCTTTTGTTTTTCATTTCCCTTCATAATACATCGAGTCAACTTGGAGTGGGGTGAGCACAATTTCAACAATTGGCAGAAATAAAACTTATCAAAGGAAACAGGGGACATACTTAAGAAAATGTAGCATTTCAAACATGGTCCTATGACAGCCTACTCCTCCATGCATCATTAAACAACACCACTAACTTAAGGTTCTCAGAATGGGGTGCATTTACCCCTGGGGTGAGCAAGACATTTACTGGTGAAAAAAATTCTCCTAAAGGAAAACCTTTATTTTATGTTTTATGATATACCTAGTACTTCAGTATAGTAGCACATGTATTTAACTCATCGGACACGTGAAGATGTGTGATCAGAAATTCTCTTGTGACGACCGACGGACGTGCAAACAGAATGGCGACTCACGCTTAGCTCCCTTCCTTAATCTAAATCCCTCTCAATCATCACTGACAAATGCGCATTTACAGGGATCACAGGGGCTGGCTGGCCACTATCAACAGTTCTGCTGCTGCCATCTTTGTTTGACCGAGTTTGTGGCCATTTGCTCTTATTTTATAAAAATGGCTGACACGAAAATGAAAGTGCTGATAACAAATGATTGCCACATTGCCCAAACTTCATACAGAAAAAAAAAAAGAAATGTAAATACCAGAAAAGCCAAGAGCAGCAGATTTTCACCCACAGACTGTCATTGAGCGGACACAGTCAACTGGGAAGGAACTGAGCCAAAGTGAAGGAAGATGCTGAAAATGCACAGTCAATGGCTGTCTCAAAAATGAGGCACCAACAGAGATTTCAAAGTTGTTTAGCGTTCTTGGAACAGAGCCTTCCTTTTCACAGATTACTTTGAGCTGTGCACTTAGGCAAGAATACCTTAGTATAAAATTAGAGGACTGCAAGTAGTGAAACAATTTCCTCCAAAGTTTACCCAGAGGAATCTGAGGAGTTCCAGGTACTCGATTTTTCTTCCTCCTACTGCAATGCTCTGGAAAAAAAAAAAAAAAAAAAGAAGGTATCTATGTACTTTAAAGGCTAAGCAGCAGCAGCAGCAAATCTGAGTTCCCAGGATGTAAAATGCAATTTAATGTTCAAAGGCAGCGGAAAATTTAAGAAGCAGAACCATGTCTTATTTCGTGTAATTTTGCAGAGAGGCACGTGTATATTCGAGAATGTCTCCAGACCTTTGAGATTCCCAGGTTATGAAGCCAGCCAACAAATGAACCACTGTTCTCACTCTGAGAACTCTAAACAAATGTGGAGAGCACAGGAATTGGCTGAGGGTCCATCCTTTATTTTCAGAAATTGACAGCCAGAGGTGGGGGTAATACAGAGGCATTCCGGCAGCACAGCTAAAACAATCAAGTCAGCCATCCAAAATCATAAACATTGCTAACCAGCTTTCATGCCCCCAGCACAGAAATGATAATCCTAAATCCTAGAGATAAAAGTATATAGCACCTTGTGCTTTACCTTGGCAGGAAGACTGCATAGGCTCGGAGACATCCATTTAGTCATCATTTTTAATCCTCTAACACAGGACTAGTTGGTTTCCTGTATAGGTAGTATTGACTTACAGGGCTCGTTGTGAAGGAGATGAATATGCTGCAGTTCATTTGGGTGACAATAAAGCACTCAATACTTAGCAGTCCGCAAAATCTTCCAAGCAGAATGAGCCCCCGATTCCCCACGTTGCCAAATTCGAGGCACAGACAACACACAGCTATCCATGGAAGGTCGACGGTGAATCAAGGCCTACTTCCCAGGCCAGCAACTTGTATACAGGGGCAAGACAGAAATACCAAATATAAAACATGGTAAGTCCATTCCCTTTTAACTTAGAGGGCTCCAATGTACCTTCCAAAAACACCTAGAGAAATTCAGCGTAAGTGATGGACTTTACATTTAAGCTACCGGCCTCCAAGAAACACACAAGGGACTCGGGGTGACGTGTTCCACTGCGGGAGACTGGGGTAAAGGATCCATCTGGACAGAGTGCAGAGTCCTCACACTTAATCCTTGATTATTACAACCTTCCAGGGCCTGTAATGAATATACCTTTACAAGGCACCAGCAGGGAACAGAACACAGCTCAAAACTTGAGATGATCTAGCTGCTCAAAAGTCAAAGGAGAGGCTCTCACTTGCAACATGGAGAAAGGACACAGAGGAGGCAAAGGCAAGGGAGACCCCCCCACATACACAGGAGGGTGACTGAGAGACTTACAGACACCAGGACTGCCTGTCCTGCATGGGTAATAGAATATGATGAGTGGCTCAAGCAGAGCTCTGGGGAATTAAAATGGTCTACCTCTCCACCTGGTTGGGGAATATGAGGGGCTGTCATAAGCAATGAAAAGAAGGAGTATTCCTGGTCCAGTGTTCCAGAAGGGGGCAAAAATGGAACAAAAGGCAGCTGGGATCCCAATAGCAAACTAGCAGGTAGCTTCTGCTGCAAGCTGGACCCTTATCAATTTAACATGCCCAAGCTGCAGCCCTGGGGATGGGGTGTCAGTGAGTGGGAACACTGTCGTTGGGGTCATCTTGTTCCAGAAAACCTCTTCCTTGAGTCCCCCAATCTGTCCAGATCTCCATCAGCCAGGACTTCCCTATACAATGAGTGCCCCGCTGCCCACTCCATATCGATGGCAGTGGAACCAGGGAGACCAGCAGCTGAGGTCGTCCCACCTGTGCCGACGCAGAGTTGACACAGCAACAACCACATTGAAGAGTTATCCAGGGAAGGAAGGGGGATGACTCCACTGGTTGCAGGAAAACAAACCTCTGAGACAGGTTTCCAGCAAAGGTCCCCCAGGAGATTTCCCACTAGGAGTTCGTTCTTAGAACTGAGAACCAGGAACCAAGTTACACACTGACATGTGCTTAGACGAGTAGGAAGGTGACTTTATTCACAGACTGCTCTAAAACACAGGCTGCAGAGGACAGGGACCTGGGCTGGCAAATTTACTGCACCCTCCTACCAGCCTCTTTCTTCTTCCCTGACTGCCCTGGAGCATTGTGCCTGAAAGGCAAACCCTTCCCCTCACCCCGCTTCACTGCACCCCACCCCATCCACCCAGCAGCCAGAAGCAGAAGCCTTTTGACAAAGTTTCCAGGAAAACATCCTGCCTCTGGTCCTGGTTTTCTCCATTCCAATGGGCTCTCCAAACACACTCTTGTCCTGGGACCCAGGCAGCGTTGAAACCCAGCCTGTGTTCTGTCAGGCCACTGGTCATCCTGGAGAGAAGAGAAGAGAAAAGGAGGTTCCAAACCAAGTTCACTCAAGACAAATCAGGCTTAATGCTCACCCTCCTTGTTTATACTCTCTACATTAAGATAATGCAGCAAAAGACATTTTTGTCCTGATTTTTAAAAAACATAAATGTGAATTTTATGACCTTTTATGCGTGACTCCTGACTGCAGCCTCACTGCTTATAGATTGTAGAGGCGGCTGGTGTTTTCACGAAGAGTAGCCAAGGTGCGGGAGAGCGGCTGATCTTTGACCCTGGCAATCTCTCGAACTGTATGCAAGGCCAGGCCTGGGTGGGCATACTGGCAAAGGCTTTTGGGAACCTGAAAGACATCAAGCATTCAGAACATCGCTGTGCCTTCTGTACACAGTCATTACACAGAACTCCCTCCCCGGCCCTTCCCCAGTAAGGACCTCTTTGGGGCTGCCCTGTAGAGACCCCTTTACCTGCAGGTGCAGGAAGAGTCCTAGTCATGGGGGGCTCTGGGTGAGCAGGGTCCCACGCTTCCTTGGACTACCCTCTACAGGGTAGGGCTTTGCACTGCCTGGAAGAGAGTGGTTACCCTTCAGCTTCTCAGCCCCCTAGACTTTTGGTTCTGCAGAGCAACAACAAGGAGACATCTACACAGCCAAGGGAGGGACCTGGAAGTCACTGGAGCTCTAACCCTGCAAACCTTGTAGGGTACTCGCCCACCTCCCCACCTTCTCTCCTCAGTGCCTCCACTCAGCCTGAACACACCCCTACCTGTCGAGGCAGGAAGTAGGGGGCATCGGTTTCTACGATGATTCTCTCCAGCGGGATCTGTTTCAGAGCTTCCCGGGCCTCCCAGGCGGAGGAGTAAGTCAGGACTGCCGTGAAGCCCACAGACATGTTGGGGAAGTGCTTCAACAGGGGCTCGATGACTGGGTAGCTGCCAGTGAAGCAATGCCTGGAAGGAGAATTCCAGGTCAGCGCTCTCTCACAATCCCCGCTGCAGCAGCCCCCAACTCCCTCTAAACATATTACCCCTTTTAAATTATTTTCTGTGGATAAATTTCCAGGAATGGAAACACTGCACCAAGGGGAGAACTCCACAGTAAACACAGAAGAGATCTGGCTCCAACACAGTAAGATCCACCATTACTCTTGGTGAGTGATGCTCACCGATCACCCCACTACACCGCAGAATACTATACAGACACTTGAATAATCGCCACAAAGAATATACAGCAATACAGGGATGAGTTATGCTTGTAACGCGGAACGAGAAGCAGAATTAAAAACTGTGCCCCCTCTAAGATTACAACTACAGTACATAAAAATTATGTCCATGTAGTCAAATGAACTTGAAGGAAAAAAAATAAAAATATTGGGGAGGAGGACTACAGGTGAATTTTCTTCTCTTAATTTGATGACTGTTCATGTCCCCAGTACAATATATATATATATATATTGTTAACCAATCCAAAAATTCAGGGCTTCCTCCAGCCACACCTCATTGGACCATGTTAGCCCCCATCTACCTACCATCGATTAGTATTCTTTTAAAGTTAGCCCAAAAGGAAGCAATGAAAAACCAACTAACCAACCCAGAAGTGACTGATTCATCTGTGCTGTGTGCTACCCCAGTCAGAGGTCTGCTTGGTCACCCAAGACAGCAGCCTAGAAGCCTGAAAGGCCCACCCCCTTCTGCCACCTGTCAAGACTTAGTTTGGGCTCTAGACTCCATTTTTTCAGTTAACACATCTCACCCATCTTGGAGAGCCAGCCCAGGCCCCACCTGCTGACCCCTTCTGGTCAGGCTTAGCTAATGGCCTCTCCTTTGGCTCTCCCAGCCCCTTATGCCCACCTCAGCCCCACTCTATCAAAGTCAGCAGATGACTTATATGTCTCCCACAATCCTCCAGATTGCCCCCAAGCAAGCCAAGTGAATGCCCAGGACAGGCACACGGTTAGAGATCAGAGTTACCAAACTGAACTTAAGAACCCCTATATACCATTCAGATAAAACACATTCTAAACTTTAATGAGCTTTCAAATCCAAAACAGGAAAATTTCTTTTCAGGTGCCATGCATGTTCTCTGTGTGCTAAGTCACTGGACCCCACAGCAGCCTCTCCTAAGATCAATAGTCCTCATTTCTGAGAACTGAGATTCCATTTTAGTCTGCCACCTGGGACAGGGGTCACGAAAGGCCCCCTTCTTGCTCACTGGTGATTTAGGGTATTTTCAAGCCATATGAAGTTGCCATTTTATAAGTAAAAAATGGTCAAATATCAGAAATTTCATATGGTTCAACCTAATACTTAATCTTCAGAAAAAATACTACATAAATACATAATATTATCCATGCTCTCCTACTGAGTTTTCATTTTTCCAAATAACATCCTAGACAGAGGGAAGTGTTCATCTCATTTGCCCGCTGAAGCTCCAAGCCTCCTAACCTATGGATCTTGTAGTCTGAGGGCACATATTTTTTCATGATGCTCAGCAGATCTTCGTCAGCTTCTCGGCAGTGGATCACCAAGGGCTTCTTTAGAGACACGGCCAGCTGCAGCTGTCTCTCAAATACCTGTGAGAAGACAAAGTGACAACACTGGTGGGTTAGGTCCACTGCAGAAGTCTGTTACCTCCAGAAGAGCCAGTCCAGTGGGCAGCCCCACAGCTTCAACTCTGTATTTGTAAACTATACTGTATAATGTACACTAATAGCTAAGGCTTACTGGATCTTACTACAGAGCCAGGTAGAGCTCAAAGCACTTCAGGTGCATTATAACCTGTAATCCTCACAAGCACCCTGAGATGGGTACTGCTCTTAGCCCACCATGCAGTTGAAGGAGCTGAGGCTCCAAGTGAGGTCAAGTGACATGAAGCTGGGAAGCTGTAGAGTCACCATTCAAATCTGAACCCAGGCAGCCCACACAGCAACACTACGCAATGTTTACTTGGGGTTGTAGGGGCAGGGAGGGGCTCAGGAACATAAGTTAAATGTCCTCTCCTCATTTTCTCCATCTCTACTCCCAAAAGGAAATCACCTTCCACACCTTCTCCTATGCAAAGAGTTGCATGTATGTGTGTATGTGTCAAAAAAATGTATGCACATTTTAAGAAAGGAAAACTATTAAAATTGTAATATTCAACATACACTGATAACAAAAGATGAATACAAATCATGTTTGACTTCTGCAATTACAAGAGGTGTTCAAAGTGGTTACCATCAGCATCCAGACACTTCTGATTATGGCGAACTGCTGCTTGAACAACGTTAACCAAAGTGTTCACTTATATACATTTTTTTGGCACCCCCGGTATACGCACAACGCCTGGCTTTCAGAAGGTGCTCAAATATTTGCTGAAAGAATAAATACTGCACATATTTTCTTCAATCAATCACAATCAGATATTCTTTTAGGTGAATACCTACAGATACACTACAT